CTCCAGGATTCACCTTTTCTCTTGGAACCCAGTACTGTAGGACCAATGCAGCTGCTGTCAACTGATTCGGCGTGACAATGATGTATCTTCACCCCATGAGTATGGCTAACTAAAAAAACCTGGGGGAAAAAACAGAAGTAACCCACTTAAACCAATAAGTATAACCAAGAGCGAAACCGAGAGCCGGATCACAAAATCTGGTGGCGTAACCGGTGAAACCGGAAGCGAGCGGGAGCCAAGCAGCCATCTCACCCAAGGCGCACATTACCAAGTATACCAAGAAGCCAACAATCGTATAAGAGATGAGAATTGCGCCAGGGCCTGCACGAGCAAGAGCAGAACCACTATCCCCCCATCAGTTCAATATCCCGGTTGACGAGTACAAGATAAAATACTCACGTTCCAATAATCAATCCAGTGCCAATAGCACCACCGATGGCTATCATGGTAATATGCCTAGCCTTCAAACCGCGATGCAAATCACTGTGACCGCTAGCACCATGGTCCTCGTGGGCAATCTCTGATTGAGGGATCTTCTCATCTTGCGAGTTTGAAGAAACGCTAGGATCTCCCCTAGTACGATGGGATAGAATGTTATTCATGATGATTTCCTCTCCTCCCTCCTCTTAATTTTTCCCCACTTCCTCACGGTCGTCTAAATTATTAGATATGGGGGAAACGAGAAAGGGGAAGAAAAAGAAAAAAATTCCACCGAACGAGGACTTTAACTGAATGAAAGGCGAGGTTTTGGATTGGGCATGAAAACAGTGAGGGGGAAGAAGGGGGGGAAGGTGAGAAACGAGGAGGTGATTCGGTTATATATATGCTGTTCTATGATTACCAGCGTATAAGCAACAAAATTTACTGTACGAGTACCGGTACAGTACCATGCATCCACCCCCCCCTCCACCCCAGCAGTGATAAACTTAAATTTGGACGGAAAGGGGATGGTGGATGCTTCACCCGAGCTGACACTGTTTCTCCTGCAAGTTTATGCTGTCTCGACCGCACGCACTGTGCCGGTGTTAACTCTGTGGAGAGGGTAGAATGAGCAGGTGCTAAGACCCTTTGCCCTATCTCAGGGAAGCAAGCAAGAGAGCTGGGCATATTGATCAGTAGAAGTGACCTTGCCCGGTATGATACTATTTTATGATACCATCTTTGGTGAAGCCAGAGCGAGTCTTTCCTTATCCACACGATCAAGCGAACCCAGGACCCTCCTCCACAAATTATATAAGTTATGCAGTGATATAACTGCTTGTTCACCTCTCCGATGAATTACACCTTACTCGAGCACCGAACTGTAGATGCCCTCGCCTCTTTTCACCTCCCCTGTCCACGATAAGAATCGAAACAAAAGGCCACTCCCGATAGCGATTCGTAAAATATGATAGAATTCGCGTGTGGAAAACGACCAGCGGAGTCTGCCATGTTAGGCTGTCTCCAAACTTTATCAGTCCGCCTTTCATCCCTAAGTCTATCACTGCGGTGAAGAGAGTCTCGGTTCGAGACTCTAGTCCGTAATTCCCCACCAACCAGGGGAGGACATTTTCCAGACATCATTATTCTCGTAGACAAAGCTATTTTGGGCACAACACACGACAGACCAAGGAATAATTGGTAAGCCTCATGAGGGCCGTCACCTCTACCGCCCGTCTCGTATTCGGGGTGGTTTTCTGAGCGAGGTTTTCAATATCATGCGTACCGTACACTGCCGGTACAGAATTTCCGCTTCCTGCGGAGTAACGTTACAGCAATTGTCCACGGTAACGCCGCTACAGCGCTTCTGCAGTTCTGTACTCAAGTGCCTTTCGAACTCCCCTCTGATCTGATACCGCGGTCCCGTTTGACACTGCTCATCCAATCATCCTAGCTCCCTACATGTACCATTTTCCCCACCTCCTGATGGAGCCTAGTTTCGGACATGGATACCAATGGGGCAGTACTCGAGTACCGGTAGGTGACAGACACTCCCATCACCAGCACCGTACTCGTACTTGAATGACCTACCGTACCGCTCATTTTGTGTGGGGACAATCTCGCTCCCTCAATCCATAGGCAGTCTCCGAGGCTAACCGATGGCCCCTCCCCCAAGCTCGTGTTCACTGTTTGGCATTGGCCTCATGGATTGAAGTACGGGGTGTATCATAGTACGGTATGAGTACTGCTGGCTATTGGCTAGGAAGGATCTTTCATATCTAGCAGTTCACCACAAAATTCCCAGCTCCTGGGTCAGGTCAGGGGTCGAGAACTTTCCCCACACCACCGCGGTTGATATCAGTATTTCCTACTCGATATTCATTTCCGTCGATATACCCCCACCCTCACTTTAAAGTGTCACCATCTCCCACCCCATTGTACCTTCCTTATAGAATACTGTCTTCATGGTCAATGAAAACAACAAACGAACTCACCACACAACCAGTATTAACAGATATCAACTAAGGGCGCCTTACTTTTCTAGCACTTACAAATGCGCAGGCAATCGGCGTGAAGCGAAATAGGAAGAGCTCCCGTAGGTGCAACTTTGGCGCCTAGCGCGAGAAGCAGCGTGGACTCGGTGCATCACGACACAGTCTGCGCCCTTGGCGATCGTTCTGACCCCTTGGAACCAGCCATTTCTTGAGCGATACCGGTACTGTACTCGAGTACTCGTAGGACCAACTCGCAGACCGAGCTCTTCCCGGGAGCCGCAACACGTTTCCCTTCCACAGTTTCATAGTCACAACTGAACAGCGTCCTAAGTTACAGTAAAAGCTTATCTCCAAAGTTCCCTGCTCCCATCACCATGATCTAACTTCTACCCGTACTATACCTGCAATTCACACGCCCGGCCAAAGATCAATGCACAGGGAAATACTCCAAACCAATGATATACTGACTCCCCGTCCTTCTTTCCTCCTCGTCGCCAGGCAATCCGTCCGACACTCGCCTTCGAGAAACTTTACACACCTTCCCCGTGAGCGAGCGGTGAGTTAATTTATCAACCAGGCTGCAATGCCCCACGGTAAAATAGAGGAAATGGAAATCTCCATGGTTCTGGGTCAACGGAAAAAACAAATTAAACTGCTGGGTAAGAGCTTCCCGAAACATAACTCTTTCGCTTGTGACCGGGGCAGAGGTAATAAGACCCCCTTACAAAGAGGAGAGAACTCCGAGTTACCGTATTCAAGTTATTACGGGGGAAAGAAACAAATTTCTTGTGATATCTTTTCCGATATTATGGTACAAGTAAAAAAATCGGATCGGAGAAGCCAAGGTTGAAATGAAAACTATTCTAATCCTTAGCTACGAGATATATACGAGTACTGTACTCGTATAAATACGCATGAGAACAGTTAAGTTAGGTTAACCTGCGGAACGATCCCGGCACACTTGTACCTTACCCCTGATACAGTTATTGAGTGAACAATCCACGTTAATTTACAAAATAACCACCTATATCGCATGGAGATATCTTCCCTGGTACTCGTACTCGTGTTGTATAAGTTACAAGTACAGTACCAGGTGAGATGTTTTCGTCAAGCTCCACGATCACAATTCGCTGGGGCCCACTTTTCGTCCTCCTATTTAGAGAGGTCGGAACGGGGTTCGACACTACAAACACATACCAAAATCTCACGATCCTGCCATACCTGGTCGCTAAACTTGGAGCTTCTTATGAGTATTGGGATGGCCCTCCTCGTGGGATAAAGATAATACGCTATGGCTGGTATCCTACTACCTGCTCCTCACATACTTCTCATCCACCTCCTCTATTACGAGAAGTAATACAGCGGTCCTAGCCTCAGTTTGAGAACTCAGGCTCCTACTGTCAGATTGGTCTCTTTTATTTTAGTTCTTGTTTTTGGATTTTTTTTTATCTGCCATAGGATCCTTCCCGTATGCATCGGTTGTACCCTAGGACGTGCTCATCATGTATCATACCCGGTATAAATTTCATCCTAACGTGCCTAAAATCATATCACGGATTTAACAGAAAAAAAAGAAGAAGGAGAGATGTTTTCGTATAAGACAAGACAGGATACTGGAGGTTAACCAGAAAAATAATCCCTGCCTTGTACGAAAACATCTTACCTGGCACTCGAGCACAGCACTATCAATGAAGACCCAAATGCATGACCTGCCCAAATACACTGTCACCACTAATTGGCTTGTACAATAATCTTTGATTACCAATTAGTAGCGAGTATGAATTTGGACTGGACGTGTATTTGGGTGTTCCAAGATTGTACTTGTGCCACCGCCGGTAGTACAGGAACCCGTACTAGTACAGTACAAGCACTCGTACGATCCCACAGTACCTGAAAGATTTCGCTCCCTACGAGTACCGTAGACTATCCCCTGGGCGGCCTGAAACATAGAATTCGCGGCAAACACACTAACCCTGTTCTAGGGGCGCTCGAGTACTCGTACAGTACTATGATTCGCTGGCGAGAAGCCAAAATTGCCAGATTTACTGTCCGAAATAGCTAGCCGCTGACTGATCTGGAGCACTGTGCGTGCTCGGGTAGGTAATAAGCGTGGCTGGCCGCAGATTCTACAGTATCGTACTGTTTCGGGCCTTCCAAAGAATATCATAGGCTGCCGGGCTGGGGCATAACACATGGTGGAGTCGAAGGTGAGGGCTCGTCGCTGATATCTTTTTTACCCCTCTTGCTTATTATCGCCAAGGCTCCTGCAAGGGGAGGAGGGGAGGATCAGTGAGGCGTTTTTGAGACACCCTCATGAGGCCGACCAAGAAACCACTGTAACTAACGTGTTTCGCCCAGTAGGCAATCATGCCGGGTAAGCGATCGCGCCAGCAAAGTGACCACAAGGGACTCGTAGAACGGGAACAGCAACAGCGCTCTTCTGGAACCCCATCGAGGTACAGCCATTTTGCGCAGATGTTGATGAAAAATGGTGAGGCCATGGGACCGTTCGGGACTCGGGGCCCCAGGAGGGCGATGCAAATGGTATTCTGGAAGGCCTCTGATGTTGAACGACTCTGGAATTGGTGGGCATTCTTGTATCATACCAGTAGAGATTATCGTCCATCCACAGAGAAACCTAACCACCAAATCTCGAATCTGTCAACAAGTGCCTGAAAATGCGGCCAATGCCACACAGGCGCCACCCAACCAGCGGAGAAAAAACCCTGTCCCAGTTTCAGACACTTCATGCCAGAGAAGTTCAGTGCCGCGGCGAGAGCTCTACGAATCAAATCACTGATGGCAGCGGGTGAGTCCATCTACTCGCACCCAGCCTGCGGTAAATAGGGGTAGGGTACTGTACGAGTACTTGTACATAATACGGTACGGAAGGGGGGTAAAGATAGGAAATTATGTAAGTGTGCGCGGCGAACCACTTTGTAGGAATCTGCGAGTGCGGTACGAGTACTGTACTCCACTGGAGCATATACGGTAGCGGTAGAAGTGCTCGTGCAGTATGATACTTTGAGAGCGGTTTCTCAGCTTCCCGGGCTTGATCGTGTGCTCCTTGTCTAGACTTTATCTAGCCCTTTCCTGCCCATAGTTACCATATGTCGACCCTGTTATAACTCACAAAGCTGCTCGTGGCGGGCACAAACTGTCCGGAAACAGGAATTTGAAAGGGAAAAAAATATAGCAAAATGTCTGTGCGTAACGCAAACTCTCGATCCGTATTTTCGAATACAATACAAGTACTTCTTCCCTGCTAGGAGTAGGAAGGGAACTCTACTTTCAAGGCGGGAG